TGTGGGCTGCAGAGAGAGGACAGCTTATTCAAGGGATTCCCAAATAATTCCAGAGTTTCTCTGTTAGCATCCATGGGCCTTTCTTGGCTAATAATAAGCCCAAAGTTGAATGTCTTTCCTGCCATTCTTTCCTAGGGAGTGAGTACATCTGAGTAGAGTTTGTTTTCATACAAGATGTGACTGTTCAATGCACAATACAGATGAAAGGCCAATCTGTCTCTCTCTCACTAGTGCTCAGAGTTCACATCTGTAAAACAAGGCAACTGGACTCAGTCTTTTCTAAAGTTTTTAAAGATTTATAATCCTATAACTATTTAGCTTCATGAGATTCCATCCTCACTTCAATATATTGACTCTGGGTAAGTGACATTTCTCTGTACTGAAATTTCTGCATTGAGAAAACTGGGACGGAGCCTGTCCCACTCCCTTCCCTTGAAGAGATCCAACAGATATGCTGGGAAATGTCAAATTAAAACCACTTTCTGAATCCATTTGAGAAGGCTGTGACTGTCGTCCCAGGATGAGCAATGCCACTTGAAAGATGACTCATGCTCCAGGTTGGTGTATTTTTCTACTTTCTGATTGACGTCTTTGTTATATTTTGCTTTCACAAACTTCCCTACTTAGCAGAAGTTTTTTTGTAGCTAAAAAAGAGAGAGAGAGAGAGAGAAGGGCTGGCCTGGTGGTTTAGCAGTTAAGTTCTCAAGCTCTGCATCAGCAGCTGGGGGGTCGCAGTGTTCGGATCCCAGGCGTGGACCTATGCACCACTTGTCAAGCCATGCTGTGGCAGGTGTCCCACATATTAAAATGGTGGAAGATGGGCACAGATGTTAGCCCAGGGCCAATCATCCTCAGCAAAAAGAGGAGGATTGGCAACAGATGTGAGCTCAGGGCTAATCTTCCTCACCAAAAGAAAAAGAGAGAGACCTCACTCATTCACAAAGTGAGTCTCACTTTCCCATTTGTAATGTAGCATCATTCATACCAGCTTCTTTGTAGGATAATTAAGGGCTAGCCATTGCCCCTTTTACTTTATCCACTAACTTTCTTCTGCTACAACAGCCTGTGTGCTTGCTTTATAAGAGAGCTTCTATTTTTTTTTTCTAGAAGGACTTCAACCTGTAATACTGCTCTCCTATCATGTGGCTCTTGGTTTGAATGTTGAATTTGTTTACATTCAAGGTTAAGCAAATGAGCAGCTCTCTACCTGAAATATATTTCCTCTTCCTCATCCCAAGTTTCATAAAACCATATTGTTGGTGAAGGTTAATCTTACATTGTCAGAGTAGCCAGAGTCCCTCAGTGGCTCCATGGTCTTCAAGAGAAAATCCAGAACTGGGAGCCAGCAGACTTGGGTTTCCATCTCTGGCTCAAGCCTTGATTAGCTGTGACCCATCACTCCAGGCTTCAGTCTCCTTAACTTAAAATAAGAACCTTTCTGGTTCAAAAGCTCTGCTTTTCACTTGGTTCACAGCCAAAGAATTTGCATCTAGGCCCAAGCCAAGCTGACCATGCAATCAATTTAAATGTGGAGGGGTGGAATATGCTGGCAGTTGGATTCTTTTGTACAAAGAACCAGCAATGACCTACTTAGAGTCAACCAACTGTTGGTGACTGTTCATGAGGGCCCCTCCCTCAGCAACCCACAGAATCCAGCCAGGTGACATCCCAGGCCACCTTTCCCAAGATGAGCCAAACCTCTCTTCCTGAGGACAAACGTGACCCAAAAACATGGAGCTGGAGGCCCCAACAACGTCCTGCTGTTGCCTGTGGATGCCCAGCATGGCATATATATATGTTGACAATTGATGGCAGAGAAACGTTTAGCAGCACAGAACAGCTTGGACAGAGGGCCTTCCATCCTTTCTGCACTCACACCCTCCTCCATCAGCACCACAGCGTGGGAGGCTTCCTTCGCAATCTCCAGAGGCAAGAAGACAGGAATAAGCACATTTCTCTTGGGGGCTCTGCCATTCCTGGAATGTATGACCTTGTCAAGAACAGAAAATCACAGCTTTAATGTACAAGCAGCAAGACCCAAAAGCCTCACAAGAGCTGCATCATAGACTCACTCTTTCTTGAACAACAAGCCCATTTGGGTAGAGCCCCCTTGCAAATGGAGAGTCTCTTCCCTTTAAGTCACTTTGGAATCCAGGGAACAGGCTTATACTGTTGCCTACAAATGCTGAGTTACCAACCTTCTCTTTCTCTAAGCTGGACCACTTCCTTTCCTCTTGGAAAATACCTGTTTCTTTGTACAAGGCCCTGGGCTACTGCAGAAGGTCTCAGCCACAGAGGCTGCTGGAGCCTGGGTGTGTTGGAGCGGGAGAGGGAGGCTGTCTCCACATATCTGAGTGCCTCTCTCTGCTTCTCTCTTTCTTTCTGTCTCAGTCACTCTGTGTGTGTCTCTGTGTGAGTCCCAGTCCCTGTGGGTGCCTCTCTCTGTTTCTTTCCGTATCTCTAGGTCTCTCTCTGCACCTCTCAGCCTCTCGCTGCATCTCTCTGTCTCACTGTGAGTGTGAGTGTCCTGGTGTGGGCGTCTCTGTCTCCCTCTAGATCTAGAGGTACAGGGAGACAGAGGGTTGGAAGACCTGTCTGCACATGTCCGTGTATCTGGGCAGCTCTTTTTCATCCCTGAGCCAACCTGCCCCTCAGTCTAGGCTTCTCTGTCCTTCTGTTTCCGCCTGTGGCTCCCTCTCCAACTGTGCTTCTCTCTCTCTCTCTCTCTCTCTCTCTCTCTCTCTCAGATACCAGCTCAGATGTAAATCAACTTCTACATTATCCCTGAGGCCTCTCACAGATGGTGTTTATCATAATTCCTTGATCTTTCAACACTACAGGAAAGATAGGGGCCACAGTGGGAAATCTGGAGATATTGTTACTATCACAGAGGATGGCCTGGGGAAGGGGAGCTAGAGGGAAGGAGGAGGAGAGAGAACAGCTGTGTAGAGCCGGCACCTCTGCTCGCTTGCCTCTTAAACACACTCAGCCTAGTTTACAAGCATTCTCAGACAGGCCTGATTGTTTTACAGGGACAACAAAAATTTTAGTGGTCCAAAAATTAGAAATGTGAATACATCTCTAATCATAGCTAGATGACAATCGACTGTATAAGGAGAATTATTTCAATTAAGAAAAAATCATTTCTAATTAGAATTAATCAAATTGTGATTTTTTTTTAAGAAATATCATATATATGGCATGTATATGGGGACCCCCTTGCTTTGCACTCACCTCCCAAGTTAGGAGTATAGCCTGGTTCATTAGCTTGGCTCTTTGGTGGGGTGACAAGAGAAATCAGAAGAAAGGTTCTGTTGAAGACAAAAGTATAATTGCAATTATTATTAGGAGTCTGTTTTTAATTATCACAGTAACTTGAAGCACACGGAGAATTGTGAGCTACAGCAATTAATTTAATCCTTTCACTTCATCCCTCTCCTTCTTCATGTTAGAACTGCTGGCAATGTCGGAACAGGCTGGTGGGAGAGATCCTCCTGCTCCCTGGCCTGGCTCCCTCTCCTGAAGGAACCTCTAGTTTGGGAAGAAGCTGGGGAGAAGGCAGTTGATTGGCATGGAGGGAGAGACGGACATTAAAATGCCTCCTAGCCCTCAAATAGCTACTTCTCAGTGGGCCTGCTGAAATCCTCAACATTACAGTCAGCGCCTGTGATGCACCTGAGTTTAAAATATCCCATGTTTTAGGTGTATGTTGCCTAAGATAGGCAATACATTAACTCACTGGTAGAATTATTGCCATATGAGCATGGCCTAATTCATCACATCAGATGTAAAATGAACACAGACAAGCACATTTATCATCCCGGGTTTGGGGAGCTGGGACTGACAATCCCCAGGCAGGAATCAAGATGGGACAGAGTTAGGTCTGGACTGTAGAAGATCAGTACCTAGGGATCAGAGGCCTACAAAACAGGAGAGGAGATGACAGATGATAAGCCTGCTTCCTCTGAGTAGGGCTGATAAAACCAACTTGCAGTGGCCTAAAGCTGGAGGGCAGAGTAAAGGAAGGGTTGCAAGAAGTTAGGATAAATATACCTAGTATCTAGACCAGTGGTTCTTAACCCTGGTAGCATATTAGAACCACTGGTGAGCTTTAGAAAAAGGTTAAAAACTCAAAAAAATTTAAATTAAAATTTAAAAACCCCTATCCCCAAGAGTTTCTGCTTTAATTTTTCTTGGGTGGGGCTTGGATGGTGGTATTTTTAAAAAGCTCTCTAGGTGTTTCTAAGGTGCAACCAGCATTGAAACCATTTACTCAGACAATCAATAGTGGATAATGAAGTTCTGGATATAACCCTGACTTAATCTTTCACGTGAAAACACAGAGAAGTGGGCAAAATGGCTATTTCTCTATAGCACTGAAGAGCAGAATTTCCCAGTGGTGGCTGAAAGGATGAACACTGCAGACACAGAGGGCAAGGAGCAGTGCTGAGTTGGAAGGGACTGGAAGAGTCAGGCCTCTCTCCTGAGGGCACCGTGGCGGACCAGAGTGAGGTCGTGGGGGACCCTTACATCAGGAAGGCTGGTGGGAGGCAAACACCTGCAATGCTAATATACTTCAGGAAGGCTTAGAGGAGTAATTCTCAACCTTGACGACATTAGAATCACCTGTGGAGCTTGGCAACTCCCCAAACCCACGCCACACTGCAGACCAATCCAATTAGAATCTCCAGGGGTAGGACCCAGGCAACAAGTTTGGAAGCTTCCTCATTGATCCCTATGTTTGGCCAAGGTTGAGAACCATTGCTTTAGATAATTATTGAGGTTTATTCTCAGCAAAATTAGGCTTTTTTTCGGGGGGGGTGCTGGAAGGGATGTAGAGGAGTCAGCAGTCTCCCATGTGCAGAGACCAAGGGAAACAAGATCAAAGCTTCGTTAAGAGTAAGGCAAAGGGGGATAGGAAAATAGAGGGAAGAAAAAGGAGAGGAGAGAAGAAGAGCACTAAAGAAATGGAGAGGAGGGCTTGGCAAGGCAAGGAATATTAGGAGGGGCAATGCTCTTACTCAGGGCCACAGGGCGCCAGCCCCAGTGACCCATCACCCACTCCATGTAGACATCCTGCAACACCGGTCCATGCCAAGCCATGTGGCTCCCATCAGATTTTGGCATGGGAAATTCTAGAATACCTCTTCTCTTGTTGTTGGGTATGTTCCCTGGGCCAACCTGGAATCCCCTTTGGCTGCCATTTAACATTTTTCCAGTTTTTCCCTCACTCAGAACAGCTGAGGGGTCGCATTCTTTGCATAAAATGCATGGTTTCTAAATTATAGGAATCAAAGATAAGTGAAAGAGCATGTATGTTATCCAATGATGGAAGCTCCTCCAAAACACCCCTGAACAGGCCCCTTCTTTTGCAAAACCAATAACCATGGCAGCCAGCCCCTCTTGAAAATCAAGCTATTAGGAAGACCTTAGTTAGGGTCAGAATTTGCTTTCCTGGAATTTTCCCACTTTGGACATGGTTCAACCAACTGGAGTCATAGAGAATAAATGGGCTGTCACAGGAACCTGAGATTCCTCATCTTCTCTCATTTCTCCATTTCATCACCTGAGCTCCTGCTACATGGTTTGAGGTTCTCCCCTCTAGACCCTGCCACCTGTCACTCTCCTCTAAATGCATTTAAGTTGACTTTCATCTCTGTGGATGTGGTCCTAGTACCCCAGAAAGAGTCTGAACAGCTCAAAGAGGAGGTCACTCAGCACTTCTGAAAAATCCATACCACACACTGCTAAGGAGATAGTTTTAGCAACAGTCCGTGTGCCAGAGACTCCAACATTGTCATTACCTCGTCAAACTTTTAAATGCAAATGTGGATATGAAGGCTTTACCTCTGATATTCCGGAGATCCATTTTGCAGAGGTTACTCGACCCTTTAAGGCTTCTCTTATCTGGATAGTTAATAAAAGAAATTGAGAATTAAAAAGATTGTAAGAAGCTGACCCCTGTGCTTGGGCCTGGCAAATGTTGACGTGAGGGAGTGTTACCAGCCAGGTCCTGTTGGTGGGATATAGAGGGACCAGTAACCTGGTGGAGTGGTCTGGGAGAAGGTGGGGAGAGGAGGAGAGAAAAGAAAGCTAGAGCTGGCACAGGAGCCTCATATTCAGGGGCCTTGAACACGAACCCCATGGCTAAGAAATACAGTTTGCCACAAGTTTGAGGATTCCTTGACACAGCTTTGGGAGCAGTTTTTGGAAGTACTTGAATAGTTGAACATTTCCCACAGTTTGTCAATTATTCAAACCTTCTTTCTAGAGGGCTAAACCGTGGTTAAAAAAAAAAAAAAAGAATCCTAACAACATAGCATAGGCCTATGGAACCAGGAAATAAGAATAATAAATAACAAAATAACAATTATATTTTGTTTTATGACTTTAAAGTGTTTTTCATGTCTGTCGTCTCATTTTATCCAGAAAAATAACTCCATAAGATAGATATTATCATGCCCATTTTACAACTGAGGAAATTAAGACTCCGAGATTAAGTAGCGTGTAAAGTCAGTCAACTACCAAGAGGAAGAGCTGGGACTTGAGTTTATGTCTCCTGACTCCAGACCATCACATCATTTTCCCTAAATCTCTCCTGCTGAACACAGGAACTCTCTGCTCATTTCTGTTCCCTCTTCCCTTCTGCTGTACAAAACGTTATTCACCTTCCAAGGCCTTGTAGAAGTTCTGTCATCACAGTTAACGTAGGTCAAAGTCCTCCAGCTCAGGGTGACTACCCTTCCCTGAAAGTGCAGTATTCTTTGTCACACAGGCTCCAAAGAGGGAGGAACCCTCCCAGGGTTTGAGGGTCTGAGCACTCAAGGGTCCGTACGTGAAGTCATACTGGAGCATCTACTTAAATTTCTTTTTTCTCATGTTTTTTTAATTCTGTTTCACAATGTGCATAATACATACTTTGTAAATTAATACTAAACACATCTGGGGATATATGCTCCCTATTTTTTACTGATCCTAAAAGTTTGAAGACTGCTGGTATATACAACTTTTTGTTAAATAATCATGTATGGTCCCGTGACACCTTTTAGTATTTACCTTTTACATTATAATTTTAAATGTAAGAGGTTTGACCTTGATGGAAGGTTCCATGTCTTAGAGGTCTTTGCACCTAACACTGATACACTGATAAGTAATGATGCTGCTACTTCACCTTGTCTACAAATACTAGCTGGTATTAGATTGATGAAAAAACATAATTATATGGTATATGACTGCCTAAAACCTTAAATGCTTTCTATATGTTTTCACTTGCAAAATAGCATTTGTTCTTTACCATAATCTAGCGGAAAAGGCAGGGGAAGCATCATTTCCTCTGCATTCCATTTGAGGAATCTGGGGTTTGTGAGAATGAAGGAACTCCCCAGTGGCACACGTCTAGTACATAGAAATATCAAGACTACAAGACTAACACTTTCAATAATTTTTATTAGTTTTATATGGTATCCTCATAAGAAAATGAAAGAACCATTGTGAAATGCCTCTTTCCCAAACCTTGGATATTAACTTAATAGTAGAATAGCATTGATAGTGAAATAAATAAATTAATTAAAGAAAAAATAATCAACCCTGCAGTGAAGGTATTTGCCTCTACATTTGAGAGGTCTATTTGCTTTTCTCATTCCCAGAGTCAGTGAAGTACAACCAAAAGAGGGTGACGTTAGAAGCCTGAGAAACATTTGATATTCTGTTCATTGGTTAGTTTTTATTTGTTTCCCTGACCCACCACCTATACACACTCATCTGTATTTGGAGAATTCCCTTCCTTGAGTCCAGTGCTCTTCAAGGTAGAAGCCAGGAACGCACTCTCCCAGTCTCCCTTGCAGCTAAAATGCATCCATGTGACCTCGGCTCAGCCAATCAGACATGACAATGCAAGAGGCAGGTGCCAGTGGACCCCAACAGGCAGGGAGGAGGCGATCCCTGAGGCAGCAGTGGCAGCAACTCTAGCTTAGCCTCCACTGTCTGACATTGGCCTGGTGACCTGTGCTATCTGTGCCCAGCAAAGTGGGGAGGGGCAATGGTGTCTCTTGTGGAGCAGTTCTGTGCTGTGAGTTGGGAGCTATTCCTGGTGTGCAGCCTCCAAGCCAAAGAGAGACCTTCCCAAAGATGATAGTGTGAGATTTACTAAATTCCTTTTCTGCTACAACTAGTTGGAATGGGTTTCTGTAGAGAACGTGGGCAAGCTACTTAATCACTCTGAATCTCAGTCTCCTCATCCATACAGTTGAAAATAGAAATACCCAAGATTGTTTTAAGGATTAGAGCCAGTGCACATAAAGTGCTTGGCCCCATAAGAGCTTGAAAGATGATAGATGTTGCTTGCATCCTAAAGAACAGTGATGCCCTGTTAAAGTGTCTGCACAAACGACTGAGATGAAAGACTCTCAATAAGTGGTCTTTACAAGCGAGTATTTCAGGGCCAAGTACTGATAATGCAGAAAAAAAACAAGAAGAATTTACGGTACCTTTGGATCCAGGATTGTTCCAAACACGAAGATGAAGAAGCCCTGAGAAAGACAGAAGAGGGAAGAAGAGCCATTTACACAATAATAATGATAATAATAACAAGAAATACCAACACTCATTATCAGTTTCTTTCTGGAACTGATAAAAATAATAAAAAGAAAACTAAAATGAACACAATTTTATTAATCTTTGACTCATTTTAATGTCACAACACCTAGATTCATCCATTCAACAAATATTGATTGAGCATCTTCCACGTGCCAGCCACTGTTCTAGACACTTGAGATACCTCGGTAAACCAAACAGACCAAGGTCTCTGCTTCATACAGGAAGATTATAGGAATTTCTTTTTAAGTTGGGCAAAATAAAAGTGTCTGGTATTTGTCAGGAGCTGTGCATCTCTCCAGAATATGATGGTCAAGCAAGAGTCAGAGAAGATGTTAGGCAGTGGACAGCAGCCTTGCAGTCCCTGAACAATCAGTAATAAAAGAAACTTTCACAGAAAAAATCAAAAGCAGATACGCTCAGCTTTCCATGAACACCTTCAACCTCCTTCCCCCAACCACAACCAAAAACTGTTATAAAACTTGCAAAGAAAAATCAAGTACCTGAAGACCCATAACAGACTGTGTTTTTAAACACATAATGGGTGTTCAGAAATAGGTGATCCAAATATTATTACACAGAGGGAATTAATTAGCTCTCATGTCTCTTATCATTCATCCAAAGACAGACCCCAATAAGACCACTTATTGAGAGTCTTTCATCTCAATAATTTGTGTTAGTTTTCTTTTTATTATTTTTATCAGTTCCAGAATAGAAACTGATAATGAGTGTTGGTATTTCTGTTCCTCTGCTATTATAGACCATTTGAATTTTCAACTTTTTTTTTTCAGATATATTGGCACAAAACCACCCTGTAAGAAGGAAGGAAAAGTATTCATTCCATTTTTCAGATAAGGAAAAGGAAGCTCAGAGATTGGAGCTCAGAAGCTTGGAGAAGCTTGGACTTCATAGAAGCTTGGAGTGCTTCTATCAGATTGCTCTTTTGTGTAACACTCTTAGCCTACAAGATAACTATTGAAATCTACTATTGTGTCTACTAAGAAAATATCATCGATGGCCTGGTCCATTAGGTTACAAAGTAGCATTTATATAAAGATGCTTGGGACAAATACATCCCAGTCTGGTTTTGATACTAGGAATACATTTTAAATCAGAATCTCCATGATTTTTGCCCAGGAATTAAATGTTTAAAAGATCTGAGAACCACAACTCTAGCCTGTTTCCTCCACAAATATATGTTCCTTTGGCTAAAGGACTAAGAGAAATTTCTCTACCTGTAGGATTTTCAATTTCTTGAGGTTGTACTAATGATATTCATATCTTCAACATTTAGCATAATGCTAGACACAAAATAAATACTCAATAAACGTGGTGTCTCTGTGTATTTGTGTATGTGTGTGTGTGTGTGTCTCTGTGTGTGTTTAATTGCTGGATTATGCAACCTGCATCTGTATAGCCATAAATATGTACTGGGAAATATTCCACTAGGATCACTTTTCATTGGTCCATGCCATCTTCGGAAAAGTCCCCAAAATATCATTCAGAAAATATAGATAAAATATTAGTCATAGAGTTTAGTATTTAATTTAGTATCACTGGTAGCAGCTTGTTTGCATTTCTTTTAGTAGATAAAGCACAATTTGAGCAGATAAATCTCAAGGTGTTCTCTTAGGTTTTTAAAATATGTGCTTTACTGCTATAGACTGAATGTTTGTATCCCCTAAAATTCATATGTTAAATCCTAACACTCAGCATGAAGGTATTTAGAGGCGTGCCTTTGGGAAGTCATTAAGGCATGAGGGCAGAGCCTGCATGAACAGTATTAGTGCCCTTATAAAAGAGGCCCCAGAGAGCTCCCGTGGTCCTTCCACCATGTGGGGTTATAGCGAGAAGACTCTCTGTCTGTGAACCAGGAAGTGGGCTCTCACCAGACACCGAATCCTGGACTTCCCAGCCTCCAGAACTGTAAGAAATAAATTTCTGTTGTTTATAAGCCACCCAGTCTATGGTACTTTTGTTATAGCAGCCCAAATGGGCTGAGATATTTACTTTTCTCCCACCAAAACAGCTATGAGGGGTCCCAACCCTTACCCAGCCCTTTACTCTCAGTTAAGGGTAAGTAATTACCCAGCCTAATTACTCTCAGTACCTACAAGAGAAGATACCAACCAGAAGATATGGAGTGGTAAGGTGAGTAGTCAAGAAAACAATTGACTACATAATAACACTTCCCTAGTGAAGGGCGTGGTTGAGGTTTAAAGCCAGTAGAGGGGCTCCCACAGGGCTAGGACCAGGAAATCTGTAAAAGGGTCTTTCTCCTGTGTCTTTTGGACCTCCCACTATGTTTATGAGTCTCTCTTCGCCATCTGCTCCATCATCCTCAGCTGCCCCTCATCTCGGCTCATCCTAAGACTCCGCTTGTCCTGCGTCCTCCTGCTCAGTTGTGGTGTCTCCCACCTCAGTAGATCTACGGCTCTCCTTTCTGTCCTTATGCAGTGAGCATCCGGAGGAAGCCCTGGTCCTCTGATATGCTGGTAAATAGCGACAACCAACTCTCCTAATGTGTAGCACTTGCCAATCTCCATGGCTAAATACTCCCACCATGGCTGATTAAAATCCACCAACGTGACATCACTGAACATGGAGTTAGGAAGAGACGGGCACATCATTTTACAGTGTTTCCACCACACAGATACAAATAATCTCAAGAGCATAGTAAAATGTAGACAAACAATTAGGAAGTGATGCATTTTGAGAATGTGTGACTTTTGTTTTTAATCTAATTTATTTAATCGCAAGTTTATGTTGTTTAACAAGGTCTGTATTTACAAGCACCTCACAAAATTTTTGAAAATACAACAGTCAGCTCTCATGAGCCAGCACAAGCCGGCTCCAACACACCACTGCCTAATGCCCACCCCAGGGTCTAGCCTTCACCCAAACCCTGCTCTCAGCTTCTCACTGGCCCATCAATACAGGCACTTAGAGGGGCCCCGCCCTCTTCCTCGCCAGGCATCAAGGCAGAGACTGAGTTGAAATTACAAGTTGATCCTGTTATGACAGGTAAAGGAGCTCATGGTACCAAAATTCAAGTGCTCACAGCCTAGTTCAAACAAAAATCACAGTTAAGGTGGCCCCAAGGGAGACAAGGAAAGGAAGATGCTGAGGAGGGAGATATGAACTCATTAAGGTTCATGACAAACAGCCCTGGGATATGCTGAACAGAAATTTAGGAACATCAAGTTTTTTGTTTTTCGTTTTTTTGTGTGAGGAAGATCAGCCCTGAGCTAACATCTGCCAATCCTCCTCTTTTTTGCTGAGGAAGACCGGCCCTGGGCTAACATCCATGCCCATCTTCCTCCACTTTATATGGGATGCCGCCACAGCATGGCTTGCCAAGCGGTGCGTCGGTGCGCGCCCGGGATCCAAACCGGCGAACCCCGGGCCACCACAGAGGAGCACACGCACTCAACCGCCTGCACCACCGGGCCGAGCCCCGGAACATCAAGTTTTTATCCCGGTCCTATCAATGACTAACTGTGTAAACGTGGGTAAGGCAATTGATAATTACAAAGAGCTATACAAAAAATGTAGGGTACAATTAATATTTTCTATAGAAATGCGGAAAAAAACCAGAGATTCAAAACGTGAGGCACCCCTATTATTAACACTGTTCTCCAAGGCATCAAAATGTTTACTATAACATGAAATATTTACAATTAAATTCTGAAAGAGACAAATGAGAAAACGTTTGACTTAAAATCTCTATTATTCATTAGGTAAAACATTTATTTGAAAATAGTCTTGTTTTCAAATAAGTATATATTCAGAATAAAAGAAATATTTTAGAGGCCTTTAGAAAAATAAAAGCTTTCTTTTCAATTAGTTGCTTCCTTTTCAATTAGTTGCTATCTATACATTTAACATTCAATATAATAAACTTTGGCTCGTTGGTACACTGTGACAGAAGAAAAATTTAAAAAACAAAATTTCAATCAAGAACGGAATTATTGAATGTGGAATACTATAAAGCATTAAATAGACATATTTATACATAGTAACCTGGTAAAATGCTAGGATGAATTTTTAAGTGAAAAAGTAAGCTGTGTAATAATATACGTTGTTTTTTAACTCCTATATTATGTGAAAATATATTTGTATAAAAGCATAGAAAATTTGACAAGGATACACATGAAACTATGAACATTGCTTAATTCACAGAAGTGAGATAAGAGAGGAGAGGAGAGGAGAAACTGCTTATCTTTAATACCACTCTATATGGCTTGCCTCATTAAAATAAGATGGTTTCCAATGGTAACTAAAAATTCTAAATAGAAGGAAATATAAGTGTGCACATTTTAATACCTCCAGATACATACGTAGATTTTGAGGGAAGTGGTATTGTTTAACTTCTAAACAGTAACGGCTCAGCTTACTGTTAGGCTATTTATGATCTTTAGGTCATTTTAGTCCTTGGTGCTTTCCCATTTATTACTTTATTTCATTTGCCAAACACTCCTATAAAGTGGGCAGTATTGTACCCATTTTATAACTGAGGAAAATATGACTTGGAAAAGTCAAGCAAATATCCCAAGAGAATGTTACACATTAATAAATGAGAGAGTCAAGCTTTGAACTGAGGCCTTTCTGGAACAAAAGCTTATTTTTGGACTCAATATGCTGTTCCAAATCTATTGTCTTCTATAAAGAAATTCGATGCCTCAAGCTCCTGATCATAAAACTTCTTCCCAAATTCTCTTACTTCCTGAAGTCAGAAGCATCTGGACTTACCTGGAATGCATTGAGCAAGGAGAAAATAATGTGCAAGGCCAGGGAGCTATCATCAATGACTGTGGCTATTCCGAATCCCCAGGTCAGTCCCAGCAGTGGCGTGAGGATGGCAATATTCTTACTGATTCTCACAATGGCTCTCACCTCCTGGAACATGGAACTGCCAAGGGCAGCTCGCTGGGTCTTGACAATCACCAGTGTGGCTGTGATCAGGTTTACTACCACGATGGCCAGAGCTGGGACCACAAAGGCCAGGAGGGCCTTGGTCACATCCCAATTGAGCCAACAGGCCTCAGGTCGTAGGTAACCTTTGCCAGGCTCAGTGGCAGCAACTGTGATAACAGCAATGACCAAAGGGCACCCATAGCCCACTGAGAAGAGAGATGCCAGCAGGACTGACTTGCGCAGTGTATGGAAAACAATCAGGATTCCATAGAGGATCAGGAGTGCCTTGGCAAGCATCCAGAAAAACACAGATAGGTAAAAGAAATGAACAAAAAATGTTGCTGCCACACACCCACTGTGGTGTGTCGTTGGACCACTAAGAAAGGAAGCCACGATAAACCACACATCTGCCATCAGCAAGGTGGCTGCAATGTTAGCGACGCACACATGGCGTAAATATGTGATCTCTGTCTTCGTCACTTGGTCCCAGACCAAGGCCTCAATGGACAAGCAAAGAATCAAGCTGCAAATAGAAATGCCCAGGCCTATGTACGTGATGTAAATCAGGATCGGGCTGTCCAAGTTGTGGGGTGACATAAGAATTGAGAAGGAGGTAAGCAACTTGCTTGGCCTACATGTGCAAACAGCTTGCTGGGAGTTTTCTTGAATCATTTGACAGGCCTGTTGGTCCCATCTTCTCTCCAGGGAGTGCCAGCCAACACACTGTGTCCTCCTCTCCTCTGACTTGCTGATCTTTTCAAAAATCAGGGAGACTCTTTTAAGTTCCTCAGGCAAAATGACAGACAGGACAAGCCCATTCACAGTGACGTTTTCCAAAAGACTGGCTTCTAAGATAGCCCCAAGAGTTGGAAATGCAATGCTGACAACCTGAGAAGGAGAAGGCACCTTCCAAAGTTCATCTCTACTGATCAACACTCTCCCAGTGACCTCATGGCTGGTGTCGTTAACTCTCATTGAAAAAGTGAAATTCTTTCCTGTGTTGTCCCTGGATATGATGGTGCCCATAGTATGAATGAAGACATCTGATATGTCAATGGGATGTTTATTTATAAACAGCTTTCTTGCAAAGGAATTGACTGACTGTAGCAGGACACAGCTGCTGTTTCTGTCAGGGATGAAGGTCCAGTTTGAGATGCTTTTGCTGTTAAGAATGTGGTTGGCCATGATGCTGTAACTCTGCCAATGAAGAACCAGCATTAGTACTGAGCTCTGAAGCTGCCAGGACATTCAAGATTCACTTTTATCAAGTGTAGTCCTCCAACCAGCAGCATAGGCATCCCCTGGGAACTTCTTAGAGCTACAGAATTTCAGACCCCACCCCAGACCTAATGAATCAGAATCAGCATCTAACGAGATCCCCAGGTGACTCGCACGCCGCTGGAGTTTAAATTGGAAGACAGAGCTGCATCAGAATTGCCCTCCTTCCGTTTATGCAATGCCTTCCTATGAGACAGGCAAGTGGGCAGCCTTCACCATGCTCATTTCCATCATCAGTTCCACTTCACACCTTGGTGAAACTAGCGATTTGCTTACCCTGGCCAGAGTACCCATTATGTTATTAACATCTATTAAATCCCAACTGTGTGCAGGACCCTGTACAGGAACATACCAAATTGGAAATTGATCCCAGAGGCCGAACCTTCTTTTTTACTATCCTCTGCTTTGAAGATCAAAAACAAAAAAGGGGCCGGCCCGGTGGCGCAAGCGGTTAGGTGCGCGCGCTCTGCTGAGGCGGCCCAGGGTTGGCCGGTCCTGATCCTGGGCGAGCACTGACGCACAGCTTGGCAAGCCATGCTGTGGCAGCGTCCCATATAAAGTGAAGGAAGATGGGCATGGATGATAGCCCAGGGCCAGTCTTCCTCAGCAAAAAAAAAGAGGAAGATTGGCAAATGTTAGCACAGGGCTGATCTCCTCACAAAAAAAAAAAAAGAAAGAAATGGATCTAGTTCCATTTCACATTTCTGCAGCAGACATGTATGGCTATTTTCTTTGCCTTCAGTTATTTCCATTTTAGCAACCTGTTCTGACTCACAAATAAAAGTAAGAAAAGTCTTTTTCTCTGCAGGACAAAGAACAGTTCTTAGAGGGTTTTGGTAGCCAAAACATACGTTGGAAAAGCTTACTCCAATGGCCAATCCAGCACCAGTAAGTGCTCTCTCTAAATGTTTGTTCACTGAATGTATTTTCCATACATTTACTCATTCTTTCTTCAATGAAGATTTATTGAACACTTGCTACACTAGGCATTGGAGATACCATTGGTGAATGACACGTTTCTCGGACCCCAAAAAGCTCATAGAATACTCCAACTAACCTGCATTCGTATCCTACCAAAGTAACACTCTACCACGTACTCAAGGCCACTCACCTGCATCTTTGCCTCATCGACATCTGTCAACAGCACCGTCGATATGTTGTGTAAGAGTTGCACAATGACAGCGATGTTTCCCGGTATCCGGGGAGACTGCTGAATGTTCCTAATTACACAGGACAAATCCCTCGGACACTTTTGCATCAACATATCTGTAATGGTCTCAGACTTAGAGTCATATTCCTTTACTTTTATATGTCCTCCAAATGGTTGACCCGAATACAAATCCGCCTAAGAAACGGCAAAAAGAAGTTTTTATTATGTTATTTTGTTTTAAATGTACAAGTACCTTTACTAAAATTTAGGACAGCCTTATTACACAATTGTATATCACATAATGTTTTTCTATTTTACATTTTCAAAGTCACATATGCTGTGCAATAACTTGCCCAATACCAAGGGATATGAACAGAAAATGAGAGTCCCTGCTTACCAGCTGCCTACTCCTTAACCCTCCTCCCCCTAAACAGCAACTCTTATCTCTAGCATTCCACTCAGACCCCTTCTGTGTATATACACTGCATGCACTCTCTGTGCATATAGGTAAATTTCTAGTGCCATTTAAGTCTATTTTCACTATTTCTAAGGGGCAAAGCAAAAGACATGAGCATATTTTAAAAATAGAAATTCTGAGCTAGATTTGGATGAATCTACTGGAACACCAAGACAGAAGAATGACTGAAAATAGTGATACAGTATCTCCCACAATTCATGCTTTGGTTCCTACACTTTAGAGTAGGGGTGGTGAACTATGGCCTAAGTCTGGCTGCCTGTTTTTTGTAAACAAAGTTTTATTGGGACTTGGCCTGTTCATTCATTTAAGTGTTGTCTGTGGCTGCCTTCACGCTACAATGGTAGAGTCGAGTAGTCGCAACAGAGACCACACGACCCAGAAAGCCTAAAATGTTTACTATCTGGCCCTTTACAGGAAAACATTGCCAACCCTTGCTTCAGAGGACCCCTTTCTGGACCTCCTCCAGCCTGGCCCTTCACATGGGACAAGGAGTCCATGGGCCTAGAGGATGTACCTACTCAGAACCCAAGTCCCTGCTTCTAGATAGTCAAATGCCCTGCTCAACAGCTCCAAACCCACTTCCAGGGCCTGCAGGGGCCTCTTCCCTAAGTCTGTGCTGCCAAGTCTGAGCCCATGCCACCAGTAGGCTCACTCCTAGGCCTGATAGGTGGCTAAGGGACCCCAGTTTTCAGGGTTATGGATGTGTGGCCTTGGCTTTCCACCACTGCAGGATGAAATCTGGGCTGGGAAGCCAACAGAACATATTCTATTTAGCAGTTTGTAAGCTTGATTTAAAGCACTTAAATATTATGACGTATGGTATGTGGGTCTCCATGAGTATCTTTGTCCAGGTCCCTCAAATTAAGGGTGGGCCTGGTGACAGACACCTGGGTTGGGCAGCCTTTTGAAGTCAGCATCACTGGCACTCCCCCTGGCCACAGAGGGGATGGGAATGTCCCTAGGACAAAACAAATGCTAAAGCATTGACTCCTCTGAAGGACTCAGGAGCTGAAGTTCAGAAAGGTAAAACCCCTACTAGAAGACGAGAAAAAGAAAAAGAAGGAGAGGAAATAACATTTGACTTGATTTTATTTATTAAAATTTGCTTTTAAAAAATGTGTAACTACTTAAGTATCTGTGGAACTATGCTCGTTTGTTTGATGATAAGTCCTTCCATTTGGGTCAGCTTCCTTCTCGTGCCTTCCTGAGCACAAAAGTCCCCTGGGGATCTTGATCAAATGCAGATTTAGATTCAGCAGGTCTGGGGTGGGGCTGAATTCTGCACGTCTAAAAGTTCTCAGGGTTCCCGGTGTTGCTGGTCGGTGAAGGACACGTTGAGTATCGAGGCTTTGGGGTATAAAAGCGAAGAGTGAAGTTGGAGAAGTAGGCCGTGATAACTCTAGACAGCTCTTCTAGCCCTGACCTAAACGAGCAGGTTCCTTTGGGTCATGAAAGGGTGTGGGATACTGGAACACAGACTTCTAGATGCACAAAGTTGAGGACTCCATTCTTGTATAGAAAGAGGACAGGTAGGAGATTATGTATTCACGTACAAATGCACTTACCTACCACCCTGCCTCAAGCTCTGCCTCCCTTCTTGAGCACAATATGCATGCTAATCTGGGGCTCGACTTTGCATGTGCAAAAACGGATATTACCTCAAAGATGTTGAAGGCAGTAAGAGTCCGGCAGGTATCAGTGATCTTGTGCCATTTATTTTGCCTGCATAAAAACTCCATATTTCCTGGAGTGTCTGAAGCACAAGGTTGAGTGCAGTGGGAATTGTCCGCACAGACACCGTCGCATACACCTGGGAAAATAAAAGGTGTCAGCATCACATGGAGAGGTCTGGGCTCTGGGCTGCATGGTCCAATCACCAAGGTGTCAGTGCAGCGAAGGCACATAAATCCTGTGGACATCAGGTGTCTTTACTTTGTAAAGTGGAGGAAGATTGAAATAGATCAGCAATCGTCATATATTTCAGTGACGAATTCCTGTCGTTTCCAACAAAATCTTATCCTGAACTCAAATGTATAAAATAGATCAAAGTGGAACCGTCCCAGTTGAAATGATAGCGAAGAGCCCACAGTTCAGTCCATCTGCACAGAAGCCCCCTGAGCACCTCCTCAGATGCCGACAGCTCCCCAGAATACGGTTCAGAAGCCACTGCAGGATGTTCCCTAAGAAACCTCCCAGCTCCAGAACTATGTCGTCAACAAGTTCTCACAGACCTGCTCTAGCCACTGCTGCAGCTTGAGTGGGCTCAATCCAAAGGATTTATGGCAAAGAACTCTCAGACCAGGATGGAGCAGAGGGTGGTGGAAGGAGAGGGGATCAGGGGTCAAAGGTACAATTGAATATGAGAAAAATAAAAAGAGAGCCCAAATGCAAGCCGTCAAGGAGTCCCATCCGCTACGCCATAAGACAGAGGGCTGAACGTGGCCTTCTATTGCAGGAGGTGAACAGTATGACTTCCATTCGATCCGTAACTGCTGCCAACGTACCGTGTGGCCTGGCAGACACCTTCTCCTTGTTTTCGCTGGCAGCCTAGAAAGGGAAAATCAAAATGCACATCAAAATCAATTGTTGACATGCCAGCCCAATGATTCACCTTAGTCACAGACAACCACACTAACATTCACTAACAACCACATCTGAATCAGCTATCAGGTCAGAACGCTACCAAAAGCTAAGACCATGAAGTGTGTCCCCACAGCCTCATTTCCCCTTCAGCCTGGACGGCTTTCTCTCCCACTGCTATTCAGCAGGAGCCTTCCTTCCAGTCCAGTAAGAATGACCCACATTCTATCCAGGAAATACATCATGAGCAGAGGCGGACTTACTGGGAAATTAATGAAGGTTAAGCTTCAGAATCCCTTGCTTGTATGCGCCCCTTCACAGCACTGAGAGAGGGCTAGCAATGTTAATAAAACATGATCACATGTTTTATTAAATTTTCAAAAGCAAAATAGTTTACCTGCCGTCTGTTCAGACCCTTAAGTTTTGCCTCTCCACCTCCCCCTTCCTTCACACTCTCCCTCCTTATGGAAAGCACTAGAGAGGTTGTAGCTATTTATGGAAACTGGATAAGTAGAAGTTGAGTTGGGGATACATTTAGTTTGGATTTAATAGGATATAAGGTAATTTGGAGTCACTTCTGCATTATAACAAGGACATCAATACAACACATAAGTGGCATTAATTCTTTTGTGTGTGTGTGTGAGGAAGATCAGCGTATACTCACCTGACCTGCCATCTTGCTATCTAACCTTTTTTATATATGCCTATTATCTTCTCAACTAAATTATAAGTTCCTTAAGAACATGGATTGTGTACTATGCTTCTTTACATCCCTTTAAGTAGTTAGTTCCATGTCTTGTACATATGTGTATATATGTATATACATATATATATTAGCATGTATGTATATACTGATGTGTATGCGTGTGTGTGTGTGTGTGTGCAGAGGGGGGAGGATGCTGAATCTGCCTGTTTCTGCATCAGAAGTTCGCTTTCTATTGGCTGGGAAGAGCCTTGGTACAATTACTCCAACTTGCATTCCAAAATCTAAACCATTGGGGAAGGAACTGGAAATTCAGTGACTCAGCTGTGTGACTAACAATTGGAGTTCATGTCCCTTTCTCCTTCACAATATTGTTTCTCTCCATATTATCAAGAAACAAGCCTGTATCTTCCATTTTCTCTACCAAATGAGAATTTATGGAGAATCTGACTTGAGTATTTGCGGTCTGTCCAAGGTGAAGAAGGCATCACTCATGATTCATGGAATACAATATTCTTCAAAGCACTGATGTAAGGTGACTTCTCATTTCACAACCAAGAGAAAGCCTTATTATATACACAGAAGAGTTAAAGGCCTTCCACTGCACAAGCATGCTAAAATAATATTTCTAGAGTTTGAGAAGAACTTATAGATCAACCAGTCCAACCCCCTTATTTTACAGATAAGGAAGATGAGTCTTTGATAGATGAGGTGACTTGCACAAGGCCACGCAGGGATTTCCTCTTGGAGCTAGGACTAGAATTCAGCTCTCCTAACTCCTACAACACTGCTTTTTCCACCAAGCCAGCCCACGTCCAAGTGGAGAAGGTAGAGGAGGATGTATGGAAGTATAAGCATCTCAAGATATCCTAATCCCATCTTGAAAGGGCCATGGTCTCCAACATGCCACAATAAAGCACTTAAAAGTGAACAACTCTGGATAATACTTGGCCCATTAAACAGACTCCAGTGAAGTCATACTATATTAATCAGAAATGTGGGCAGAAGGCCATGGTATGCTATCTATGAAGAATTCTGCCTTCTTAAGTGGAGGACCTGATTCACTTCTGCCCAGATAATTTGCCAAAGCACATCCGTATACAACTCCTTCCGGTCATTTCATTTCTACGGTGGCATCCACTTCAGCTTCAGATACCAACAATCCTCAATCTAATATTGTGAACAAGACTCTTGCAAACCCATAACCTGCTAAACCTGCAGAGCTGCCTAAGTGAGCAGGCAGATCAGGAGAGGGGTAGCCAGAAGCTCAGCATCCAGCAATCTGTAAACTGAGAAGACAAGGATGGAATGTTCCTGGTAATGTGATCCCAATAATGAAGAAAACAAAGCCAACCTCCCATGCTCTGCTTCCTCTCCAAGTGCTGTCTTGTGGGATAATGTGGATGAAGAAATGAAGAGAGGAAACAGTACCAAGCTGTGAGGTTGGGGTGCCTCCTGGACAAGGTCTTTCTGAAGGAGTCTCTAACCTCTCCCAGCGTTGAGAGAAGAGGAGTCAGGGAGGAAATTCCTATCCAGGGGCAAACTACTTAGAGGGTAAAGTGAATATCATTTGGAAACTCCTAGGAAGAATTTCCAAAGTCATTCTTTCCTAAGGAGGCTTTTGTTAAGAAGGCACATATTAAAATGGAAAGAACAAGAACCGAGAGCCTGAAGACAGGGGTTCTGGCCTTGGCCCTGTAGCTAAGTAGGTATGTAACCTCAAGTGAGTGACATTCCACACCATGGGCCTCAGTTTCCCTATCTATAAAATAGGGGGTGGAGCATCATCAGTTGATCTCAAAGCTCCCTTCCAGATCTTACGGTCAAATAATAATACTTTGTTCCCAAGAAGCTCAAAATAATTTTCTGTCCTTTCTCTCTCAATGATTCTCCACAACTAATTTTAAATAAGTAAATAATAAGGAAAGTAAAATGACTTATGGTATGAGGAAAAATATTCTAGAGAGAGCCATAGGACTCACTGTCCCACAAAACAAAAATAATACATTGCTACAAACTCCACCCCAGTTAGACCTTGATTAACCATTGACTATCTGAGTTGCTCATTGCTTCTTCCAGCCCATCCATGGTGTTCACTACCAGGTTTCCCAAAGGAGGTGCCATTTTGAGTGAGACAATGCTTCATTGTGCCAGACTATTCCTAGGTCCTGCCCACTAAATGCCATTAAATCTCTCCCATTCATTGTGACACCCACCACCACCCCCTACATTTTCAAGTGCCTCTAGGGAAGTGGCACCACCCTGGTTACAAACAACTAAAAGCTTCACTATCAAAGGATATGGGAAGAAGAGTTTATCACCCTTAAATCATTTGAGCCTCATTGCATCTGAGGAACTTACAGAAAAAGTTGATGGGAAAATAACTTGCAGCTATTGGCTAATATGGGTCTGGGTCACCTCAAATTGCAATTTCCTCTGGCTGGACCATTCTACCAACCACTATCTTCTCCCTATGCTTCAGCTCAGATAACTGAGAGCTGGCTGACTGATGGGTTTTATTTTCCACCTGCTCTCCCCATGAGTTCATCCTCCCACCTCCATTTTCTTACCTGGCATAGTGTCCTGCAGGACTCTGTGGGCAAAAGAAACACTAAGCAGTACAGCAAAAGCATATGAGTCATTGTCTTCCGCACAGCCGCCTTTCTTGCTTCTGTAAAAATAAATGAAAAGGCAAAATGTCTCCAATCTGAAGCTTTCAAAGTTCCATGCCACTCATAGACCCAGTCAGCCTATGAGACTGAGTTCTGTCCTCAGTGCTGTCTACTCAGACTTTTCTGCCCCAGAGGTGGCGTCCTCCTGGTCTCCTATCAATTTCACCAGGAGGATGCAGATGTGAGCACCAGCTGGCACTGGGAGGCACAGATAATTGCTGCGATAACCTCCAGCTTCTGCTGTCAGCTTGCACATGACGCCTAAGGTGGGAATCCCTCCAAAGGAAGCTGCCTGCAGGGGTGTAATATATAACAGCCCATGTTCCAGGAACAGGAATGATGGGTCACCCTCTGGGTTAGGCAGGCCTGAGAAACGTGTGGGTGGCTACAGTGGAAGGTGAACTGGGGTTCCTATGTGCAAACTCAGCCTAGAAATATCTTTTCAAGGAGAGTAATCACCAGGTCTGGTCTATTATCCTCTTTCCCACCTAACTCTGGAGCTGTATTTTCATAGGTAGAAACTTCTTCAAAACTGATCTTAGATATAGCCTGTTATTATTATTTCTGCCAAAACTGATGTCAAAACTAAAATGATTCCTTGGCACCTACAGTGCTGGACACATGGTGAGAAAGGGAAGAGGGAGGGAAGAGGGAGAGAAGAACTGATAATTTTTGCATCAAAGTCTATCCTCTATAGAGGACTCACCTAAGTTGAAATTTTTACTATTAAATTTTAATCTTTTTCATCCTGAGTGAGATCCTCTTTGAAAGGTTTGTCATTTCTTTGCTTTTAGATGGAAGGATTCAGAAGGCTTAGATGCCATCAACATAGGCCAGAAGCTTTAGCAACGGTTGACGTTTGCTATTTGATCATGGTTAGCCAAAAAGAAATTGTCTTTATCCCACCCATGCATAACTCTGTAGCAAACAATGCCATTATTTTAAAGACAAGGCGAAAATGTATTCTTTAATCGTTTCCTGCATTGAAATACTTGCCTAGCTGACATTCCACTGAAATCCAAGGATTATTTAAAATATTTTGCATTGCCTGTTTCAGCCTATTAATACAGTTCTCTGAAGGTCTGTGGTTTTTTAAGCAAAGGGATTCTTTTGTTGCTCATCACTTTTAAATGTACGCAGTAGCAACCCAGATGGACACACAATTTCAAGTAAATTGCAGTCATGTTTGCATCCATTATTCCAACCTAAATCACTCAAGTGGATGAAAATTCCAGGATGAAAATCATCAAAGTGACTTATCAGAATCATGACCCATGCAGTTTTTGCTTTGGGGAAAATGATCAAAATTGAAAAAAATTAAAACCACTGATGAATTTGTCAACATAATTCTCATAAAATCTGAGCATGAGTCCATGTTTTTCTGAATCACATTAACTTTATATTAAAATTCTCATCATATAGAATGTTCTTTCTCTTAACTAAAACCAATTTTTGCAAAATGATTTAAGGAATGATACAGGATAACAAACTTTCATAGAGTTGGCACTACTCAGCCCAGACACTCAAACAGATTTTTTAAAAAGGAGTGGGGGAGGAGGCGAATGATTACATGACGCTGACAAATCAAGATGAAAACTATTCTGTTTGCTTAACATTTTAAGGTGTAGTATTGAAAAAATTCTTTATTTTATTGTCATTTTGTTTTAAATTTTAAATATAGTTAAGTTGTAATTTTTATCAAAATGCTTTTTGGTTATTACTAAAATTATGTTTCTATGTATGGCAAAATGAGGACTTTGTGTTTTACGTGGCAATGACCATCACTAGACTTTGTAGTTTGACCTTTTTAACAGTTGTGCTGCTGCCCGGAGCCCAGAATTTTCTAACATCTTCCTTACTGCCCAGGGCTACCTGAGCATGGAAGAACTGGGGACCACAACGCTGGAGTGCTGCCCATCTCCGAGTTTCAGCAACAGTGTGACTCTAAGTTTTAGTGCACGTTGAGCTTTTTCTCAATGCTGTTAACTAGAAGGTACATTTTCTCAAGTTGACTTTTTTTGTATTTTTCTTAAAAAAATGATTGCTCTCTAAATAAAGTGGCACATATTAATCTGGACTTAACTAAAATCATTTTTCTTCCAGATTTGTTAACATTAAGCCATAGTCATTAGCTCTTTTTCCATTTCCATGAAAGCAGAATGTTTAGAAGAAGCCAAAGTGTATAGTGGTGAAATAGTAACATGAATCCAATCTTCTGATCACTCACTTCTCCAATCCCCTCCCCCCAGCCTCCTTCCTCATTTTCTTTTGAAAAGCCACAGATCCCTAATGGTTCAGACCTCCTTCCCCCAGGTCAGCCCCACACATTTATGAAATGCGGGGGTAGCTGGAGTGTAACTCTGCAAATACTGGTTTCACATAGCCCAAGCCAAAAACGTCATTACAGACATTCATTTCAGAAAAGGCTTATCTCTCAAGAACATACAACCTGAAAAAACAGTCACCACATGTGAATCATACCAAAAAAAAAATGAAGCAATTACATCAGCACTGCAATTGCCGTAAAGTAAAATGTGCCAAATACAAAGTGTTGGCTTTTTTCTGAATTAAGAAACTCCTTCCTGCCTCCCTTAGAAAAAAGAAGAACACTAAAGTATGCCAGTACAGTGACTAGATCTGCAAAGAGATATTTCCAACCATCCAACCCAGAATATGTTTTCCCATTCTCTGTTGCCTCCTTCCCAAATCTGAAAAAGGTGCTTAAAATGTTAATTTATGAGTTTATTCAACAAACATAAAATGAGCTCCTCATTTCCAAGCAATGTCTTAAAACATCTAGAAATTAAACCATGACAACAAGGATGACTTCTTTCCCCATCTCTTCACCACCTCCGGGAAGTCACGGTCTACTGGGGCTTCTGAAGCACCAGCAGGGGGTTGGAAACTTGGATGGGGTTTGCTCCCTAGAGACCTGCAGTCCCAGAGAGTCAAAACTAGTCAGAAAGATGTGACAGGAAGCATTCCAAAGTTCCAGACTCCACAAAACAATTCTCATCTTTGTCAGCAATTTAATTTCAAAATATCTCTTCCTATCTCTGTGTTGAATTCCTCCACCCCAAAACCATACGGTTGACTAGCACTAAGGAAAGACAAAGCAGAGAGAAAGAAAACACGGGAGCTGCATGCTGGGACGTGTCCTGTCCCAGGAGAAACAAACATTTGCTTGATTTAAACAGGCACTCACACATGCAAGCGATAGAGATGAGAGCAATTTTATAGGGTGGTTTTGGGAAAAAAAAAACTCTACAACCCAAACTCTTAAATCTTGATTAGGAAAAAAAGAAAGTATTGGAATAGCAACCACAGCAATCACAAACGAATGTCAACAAAACAAAACTCCAGACAGAACTTTATCAGCCACCCGGGAATATTTCAATCACCAGCTTTGGCAGCTGACATTCTGCGGCCACTACTTGCATAATTAGGTTTTGTAGTGAATTGCTGAGGCTTTCCAGTGAGATCCACAAAAGGCTACAAAATTTCCCAGACAGACTGCGGGAATACACTTCAGATGATCTCTGCTTCCATAGCGTCATTTGGCCAACCAACTGTTTCACCTCTAGTCAACAACCAATCCCATCCCTCCTGCCTGAATGCAGACATTATGGAAGTGAAGAGGAGGATAAAACAAATAATTACTGTCTGTTTACTCTGCGTCTGGCACTGTGTCTACACAAGCTCTTGTAACGCCCTCAAGTAGTTCTGTGTGACTGAAGTGACTTCCACAATTTTCCAAAATTAAGGGGCTAAAAGTCAACCCTGCCCAACCTCGCAGGTACTAAGTGACATATTTGGGATTTGACTCCAGGTCTGTGATTTTTTTCCAATATGTCTTGCGGCTTTTCTGAAATAATAAAGAGCTGATCTTTGAATGGGGATCGTTCTTTCAGAACATTTTCACATACGACCTTCATCTTGACATCATAAAAATTTTATGACTTAGGCAGAGAAGTTATCATTTTCCCTTTTTTACCAAAGAGAAAACTGTCCAGATAGTAAGTGGCTTTTCCAACGTCAAGTTATTGGAAGACCAGACTTTCCAAGTTATTGGAAGAACCAGACTTTTTTGACTCCTGATCCAGGACTCTTTTAACTACATCATTCTGTCCCTGTCCTCACTGGGGATGTAAAAGGGCTGATCATCATCTCCAGAAAAAAACAAAATTAAAATATATATATTTAGAGAAAGAGAGAGATCTAGATTTAAACGACCATAAAGAAATTTACAAACTGAGTAGAATTGCCCTCAGAATTCCTTCTGTCCATCCTGCGTCATCTCCCATGCCATGCCCAGACGCTCAGGGCCCCACTTTTGGCTCCAGTCCAGAATCTCCCTCCTTGGACAAAGCTCCTCACTCTGAAACAATCTTTCCCACAACAAGGGCCACCTTTCTTGGGTCTTAGTCTTCCAGAATCCCTCCAACTGCCAAGAAGAAACAGTTAACTAATCAGATAAGCCAACTACCAGTCATGTGAAAATGAATACTAATGGTTTTGCGATTTAGATTTCCCAGGTAAGTGTACATTTTAACAAGAATTTTCTGGAGGTAACCTCTCCAACAGTAGGAGGCAAAGGCACTGGCCCAAGTCAATAGGCCAAGTTCTTGGGAGCAAAGATGACTCTCCATGCCCCAAACCACGCCCACATAGCTACCTACACATATGTTTAGGTAAGCCTTCAGTTTTCTCCAGAAGCCCATTTTTTTAAATGTTAAATCATTTTCATGGGTTCCCCTGAGTCTTGGCCAGTTTCTCTAAACCTCTTTTGAATTGGATACTCTCCTCTTTCTGCCTGCAGGTTTCGTGCAGTGCTGAATAATGGAAGATTACTCCCACCTGAAAGGTAAACAGTGGGCAGGGAGGAACGTGTGCAGGTGGCATCGATGTCAGGCACTTGGGAAAGGTGTGCACCGAGAATCACCTACCTCATGAGTCACCACAAACCAAAGAGAGAATGTAATCTGACAGGCAGAGGCTGCCAGGATAAATTAAAGAGATTCTGAAAGTATAGAAAATTTGGGTGGGAACGCTAAAT